AAAAACAGAAAACACATAGAACAAAAATTCAAGAGGGTTACCCTCATTGACAACATACATCCGAGATAAACCCCACTATGTAAAACAAACACAGAAACTGTTGAAAATCAGATCAGGCACAACGTGCATCAAATCACCTGGCAAGGTTCTGACTGTTCAAGTTAGTCTTATCATTTTGATCTTTTATAGTCATCTCTTCAACGGACTCTGATAACGAGTTTGTTCCCTCTATTATGGATCGAGGGAAATCCCCAGGGACTCGTTTCCTGTGTAGGTTTCACAAATGTAGCTGGGGCTCCCACTGTCATCCACAGCCTTCTGGAAACCAGAATCTCACAATTTAGGCTCTGAGACTATTTCCTCCTTCGACTTCAGATTATACACTTAGGATTTACCATCACTGACCACAGCCTCTTCAAACGTGAGACCAGAAGGTGGTGCCCACCAATCACAACTGGCCGTTCTGATCAGGAACCGAATATAAGTTCCCATATAGAATGGGATTAAAATGTACACAAATCCTTCGAAATTGCAACTGAAGCTATCACTGAAGGTTACCTTTCAGCCAAATAATAAATTTGCTTATGATACCCATGAGTGAGGTACTCCTTAAACAACTATATTTGAGGCCAAGTGGTCAACCAAGGCAAAGGTACAAACATAAGAGGAAAAGTAAAACTAGATTCATGGAAGCTGAATGGAAATAACAAGAATGCTAAAACATTGTAAAAATGATAACAAATATCATGGAATAATTTATATACTGGTATATGTGTTTTGTTTTTGTAGTAATGTTTTTAGCTTTTTTGATTAGATTGTCTCTATGATTAGATTTATTCCCAAGTGTTTATCTTTGGGGTGGCTATTGTACATGGGGTAGGAGCCATGGTGGTGGAGTGGGTTATGTGTTAGGCTGCCAACCACAAGGTCAGCAGTTTGAAACCACTAGCCACTCTGCAGGAGAAAGGCCAGGCTTTCTGCGACCATAGAATTGCAGTCTCAGAAACGCATAAAGGCAGTTTCACTACGTCTTCTAGGGTCGCTTTGAGTCAGAATCCACTCGATGGCAGTCAGATAGCTTGTAAATAGTATTGTTTTGCCGATTTCCATCTCCAAGTTCTCTTTGTTAATGTAAAAGACAGACCAGTGTTGCTATGTTGATCCTGGACCCTGACACGTTTCCGAATCTTTCCATTAGATCCCATCCTGTTCTTGCTGAGTCAGCTTTGCAAATATTTTTTTTTTTTTAGTTCTTATGTATTTCAATAAGTGGTGAAAATTAGAGGGAGCTTTCAGGATTTAAAATGTTTGTCTTTCTCTGACTTAATATTTGAAACTCACTAAAAGATGGAACTAAACCCATAAAAAAGTGTTTAGTCGGTGAAAGAGGGGAGACAGAAAACTCCATGAGAGAAACAAACTACTAATGAGATGATTAGGAGGAAACAAGCTTCAAGCTTCTGAACCAGTCAGGTGCCTTGAATGTGTTTTTTGCTAAGGCTTCTCTAGGGTTTGCTCCGAGGAGGCCCAGGGTTGAAGATAAATAAGGGAGCGCACCTGGATAAATGGCCTAATTCATTCCTGTCTCTTCACAGGGGGCTTGGCCTCAGTCATTTACACCGACACCCTTCAGACCGTCATCATGCTGATAGGCTCATTGATTCTCACGGGGTTTGGTAAGTGGATCCAGACATATGACGACATGCGCATGAGCAGAACCCTGAGTGGCAAATCACGTGATGATGTGTTCTGTTGAGTCTGGGCCATGCTCTTCCAGTTCCATCTGGTCTCGTTTTTCAATTCATTGTATAATTCTCATCATTGAAAGGCCAGTTGGGCTCTCTCTGGCTCTTCTGTCTCAGCATGAGGTAATGGGAGGAAAGAACCTCAATGCTTCTTCAAAATCATTGCCTAGTTAATTACTCCCATTGGGTTGAATATCTAATCTTATAAAAATGGGACCTTACAACACTTGTCCTTCTGTAATGGGTTTATTTCCCTTAGCATGAAGTCCTCCAGATCGGTCCATGTCATAATATGTTCAGAAGACAGCTTTGTTTTTCATGGTTCTGTACTATTGTATGGACCATGTTCCCTAAGATATGTATTCTTTTGGCTAAGCCATGATTTTCACCATTACGTAATTATATTCCATTTTATGATCTGATTTAATTACCTGTATATTGTAAATCCTAATTTCCATCATGTCAATGAGGCAGGATTCATAGCAGGTATGTTATTGAGGCAGGATGCAACCTTCAGGATTATGTTATATCTGGAGTCAATTTCTTTTGAGATGTAAAAGAGATTAAAGAAGTGAGCAGAGATGAGAGAAACCTACTATCACCAAAAAGAAGTATGGAAACAGACTTCGTTCTTGGACCCAAGGTCCGTGTGCTAAGAGCCTTCTAGACCTAAGGAAAATTGATGCCAAGACATATTGCAATCTCCAAGGTTCATGGGTGTTTAAAGGAAATAAGGTCTTTATTTTCCCAGCGTCAACAAAGAGAGAGTCCCTTCCCTTAGAGCCAGACCACTGAATTCAGACTTTTAGTCTCTTAAACTGTAAGAGAATACAGTTGTTGGTTAAAGCCATCCACTTGAAGTATTTTTGGTATACCAGCATTAGAAAATTGTTTTAACAATTTGTGTATACCACATTATATTCATTCATTCATCTAATGGCTATTGATTGTATTTTTTTAAATGTGTTTACTTGCCGATTGAATTTCCTCTTTAGCAAAGTATCTGTCCATATATTTTCCCCATTTTAAAATAGGGGTGTTTGGCTTTTTGTTGACTGTTGACATTTACTATGTAGCTTCGAGATTAGGCCATCATAGGTGCTATCACCTCATTTATCTGTCAATATTTTGTAACGTGGTGGCTTGATTGTTATTATGATGTTAAAGACTATGCCACCAGTATTTCAGATACCAGCAGGGTCGTCAGTGGTGAACAGATTTCAGCAGTTCTTCCAGACTAAGACGAGACCAAGAAGAAGGAAAACATTTGAGGGGTAAACCTTATGAATAGTAGCAGATACAGTGCTGGAAGATTCATCCCTCGGTTTGGAAGGCACTTAAAATGTGATGAGAGAAGAACTGCCTTCTCAAAGTAGAGTCAACCTTAATAACATGGATGGGCTCAAGTTTTTAGATCTTTGTTTACTGATAGGACACAACTCAAAGTGAGGAGAAACCACTGCAAATATCCATGGAACATGGAATGACCAAAGTATGAATTTAGAACATTTAAAAGCCATCAATATTACCTGAAGCACCTAAAGCTAGCTAGCCTAGGTATTTATGAGTTGAAATGGACTGATTTGGCCATTTTTAATCTAACAATTGTGTGTTTTACTATGTTGGGATTGACAAACTCAAATATAATGTTACCACATTCATCATTTTTTTAATAAAAAAAGAATATGCGATGTGATATTATCCAGACGTATACAAGGAAATCCAGATAATAAACTATTACTCAAATGTGCACACTAATCCCTACAGCCAATAATAAAAAAATTGAAGAATGCTACCTATTTCTTTTGTCTGAAAGTGATTAAACATACAATCAAGATGGTAATTAGTGGTGATTGGATTGTGAAATTTGGAAACAAAGAGGAAGGCTCATTAGTTGGAAAATAAAACCTTTGTAATAGAAACAGAGGAGGAATCCCATGATAGAATTCTGCAAGACCAATGACTTCTTCATTGCAAAACCCTTTTTATCAACAACATAAATGATGATTATACATGTGAACTTCACACAGCAATCAACTGACTACATCTGTGGGAAGAAATGGTCATCATAAATAAATAATCAATATCATCAGAAATGATCAATATTATCAGCCATGAGCCGACGGTAGAACAGATCGTCCATTGCTCATATGCAAGTTTAGGCCAAACCTGAGGAAAATTAAACAAGTACCTGAGTGCCAGAACATGACACTGAGTATCTACCACCTGAATTTAGAGACTATCTCAAGAACGGATTCTCAGTTTTATTCTACTGGTCTATGTTTCTGTTATAGAACCGATACCAGGCTGTTTTAATTGCACAGGCTGTATAAGATGTTTCATTATCAGGGAGTACGATGTCTCCTGCTTTGTTTTTCCTCTGCAATATTGCTTTGGCTATTCGGGATCTCTTTCCTTTCCATATAAAGTTGATCATTCATTTTTCCATTTGTATTGGAAATGCATTGTATCTGTAGATCATATTAGATAGCATTGACATTTTCACTGTATTAAGTCTTCCAAGCCATGAGATCAAAATGTCCTTTCATTTGTATAGGTCTCTTTCAGTTCCTTGTTGTTATGTTTTATTTTCAGTGTATAAGTTGCTTATGTCCCTGGTTAGTTTAACTCTTAGGTATTTTATCACCAGGGGGTTATAATATATGATATGCTTTTCTTTTTTAAATACGTCTTGTTATTGTAAAGGAACCCAATTAATTTTGTATGTTGATATTGTACCCTGCAATATTACTAAATTTCCCATTAGATCCAGCAGTTTCCTTTAAGTATTTTCTATGTATATGATTGTGTCATCTGTGAACAGAGATAGATTTACTTCTCTCAAATTTGGCAAACTTTTGTTTCTCTCCCAAGCCTTATTGCCTGACCAGGACTTCCAGGGCAATGTCAATTAAGTGTAGCAATATAATAATCGACATACTTTTCAGGTGTGTAGTTTTTCTTTATTGAGAAAGGTGGCTGTTGGTTTTACATGTATACGTGTGGTAATAATTTCTTCTATAAGAATGAATACCAAACTAGTCCCAAGAGGTTGAAAATGGAAAATGTCCCTAAAGCCCAATTTTTGAAATATATCATTGTTTCATCCTCCACCCAGCCTCTTCCCTTGAGTATATTCCCTCATGTTTCTGGGTTCTGTGAATTGCTGCAATGGCCTACAGAACTCACAAAAAGTTAAGGAAATGTCTCACGTGGTGGTGGGTCAGGAAGGAGTAAACTATATGCTGGGGCCACTCCTGACTCTGGCAAGTGATGAGAACACACTGCCTGCTTCTCAGTGGGTTCATTTTATATTCATGGAATCTTTTCACAATCACACATATTCTATCAGTATCTTCCGACCAGACCCACGTACGGAAAGGCTGTTTGGTGGGAGTCACATGGTACAATCAAATTTCACCCAAATGTATGAATCTATTCTCCACCCCTAGACTGCATTTTATTTATGTACATATGACCTGGGGCCTCTGGCAAGATGTTTCCAGTAGGCATTGACCTCTTAATCAGCCAGGCTTTTCCCTAGGCCATCCCAGAAACAGTTTTCTTTCCCCTCTCAGAGGTAGCATATAATTCCTTACTTTCTTACTTAGTTACTTAATGACAAGTAATAGTAACTTAGATTACCATTAAACAAAGAGTTCAGTCTGATTCATACCCTCTACTAAGGTCAGAACTCAGTTGGATCCCATTCCTATTTGTTAGCAGATAATGTCTTCCAATATGGGACCCCAGGCACAGGCATATGAAATCCAGAATTATTGTAAGGGATTATGGCTGGAACAGACATATTACTCAATCCCTTTACTTATGTTGAGAAATTTTCAATTCCCATTTTGCTGAGTTTTTTTTTAATTCCCATTTTGCTGAGTTTTTTTTTAAACCAAGAAAGCATGTTGGATTTTATCAAATGTCTTTTGGACATCAGTTGATATGATCATGTACTTCTTCTTTCCCTTTGTTTTATTTATGTTGTAAATAACATTGATTAGTTTTTTAATGTTGAACCATTTTTTAATTCTTGATAGAAACCCACTTGATTCACATGCAACTGGCATACGAATTGTTTTATGTGTTGTTGAGTTCTGTTGGCTGGGATTTTGTTGATATTCTATATTGCATCTGTATTGATTCCTGGCACGCGTGCACACACACTGGCTTTGCCTCGTTTGGCATTATAGTGGATCTGGATTCATAGAATGAATCAGGAAGAGTTTGAGTCAAATTGGTGTCAAAGCTTCTCTGAATGTTTGCAAAATTCCCAAATGAAACCATCTGATCCTGAGTTTTTTGGTTGGAAATTTTTTTAAAAGATCATTACTTTCTTCTTTCATTCTGGTCTTTATAAATGTTTTCTACCTCCGTTTGTGTTCATTTAAGTAGGTAATATGTTCCTAGGAATTAGACTATCTTGGTTGGTTTGGATCTGGATTTCAAATTTATTGAAGTACAATTTTAATAGCATTCTGCTATAGCCCTCTTTATCTCTGGTGGGCCTGTTGTAATGTCTCCAATGTAATTTCTGCTCATTTTTCCTTTCGTTAGTCTAGTCGGTCATTTTGTTATTTTATTGATTCTTTCAAGGAAACAGATTCTGATTTTGTTGAATCTTCCCATTGCTTTCCTGTTTGTTCGTTTGTTTTTAATTGCATTTAGTTCTATTCTGATCTTTTGTATTGCCAATCAAGGAAGGTCATGACCATTTCCAACAAGGCCATGAGCACAGGAAAAAAACAGGTCATGGTATCTTTTGAAGGAACCCAATTTGCTCCATAACAAAGTGAAAATAAATAAATTTTCCCTAACTCTTTGTATTGCAGCCACCATGTTTGACTCACGTACATACATTTAATCACAGAGCTAAAGGAACCCCGGCGGCAAGAGAGCAAACTGTCAGAATTGCTCAGCAAAGCTACAGATATGAAACATCATAAAGGGAAGGAAGTTCTCACTTCCACAGCAAAAGAAAAGAGCACACAGGAAGCATTACCAGGACGATCTCTTTCAGTCCTGGGTTAGTGGTCTTTTAGAGTAATAATGTATCTTGTTGGTGTTCATCAATGGACAACTCAGCATGCTCAGTCAGGATGGAAAGGGTGTCACAAAGACCATGCCTTACCCACGTCTAAAGTTTTAATGTTGATGCTAGGTGCCATCAAGTTGGTTCCCCCTGTATATACAACAGAACAAAACACTGTCCAGACCTATACTGTCCCAATAATTGTTCTTATGTTTGTGCCCATGTTGCAACAACTGTGTCAATCCATCTTGCTGAGCGCCTTCCTCTTTTACTGCTCTTCCACTTTACCAATCACAGTGTCCTTCTCCAACCACTGTTCTCTGCTGACAACATGTCAAAAGTACTTGAGACAAAGTCTCACCATCCTTGCCTTTAAGAAGCATTTGGACTGTACTTCTTCCAAGACAGATTTGTTTGTCCTTTGGAAATCAATGATAGTTTCAATATTCTTCACCCACACCATAATTCAAACGCATAGATTCTTCTTCAGTCTTCTTTATTCAGTGTCCAATTTTCACATGCAGATGAGTCCATGGAAAACATCATGACTTGAGCCAGGCACACCTTAGTCTTCAAAGTAACATCCTTGATTTCCAATACTTTAAAGAGGTCTTGTGCTACAGATTGACCCCATGCAATGAGTCATTTGATCTCTTGACAAAAGATTCCATGACTGTTGATTGTGGACTCAAGCCAGAAAAAAAATCCCTGACAACTTCAATCTTGGTTCCATTATCATGATGCTACCTATTGGTTCATTTGTGAGCATTTTGGTCTTCTTAACATTGAGTCATAATCCAGGCTACAGTCCTTGATCTGCATCAGCAAGTGCTTCAAGTCCTCCTCACTTTCAACAAGCAAAGTTGTGTCATTTGCTTATTGAAGATTGTTAATAAACCTTCCTCTAATCTTGATGCCACATTTTTCTTCATATAATTCAGCTTCTCTGATTATTTGTTCAGAATACAGATTTAATAAATATGGTGAGAATACAATTCTAATGTGCATCTTTCCTTGTTTTAAGCCATGTGTATTCCCTTATAACCATTATGCCATTGTTCTGTTTACACAAATGCCTTATGATCTATGTACAAATTCCACATCAGCACAATGAAGTGTTCTGGAATTCCAGTTCTTCTCAAGGCTACCCATAGTTTGTTATGATCCCCACAGTCAAATACCTTGGCATCATCAATGAAACACAGGCAAATATCTTTCTGGTATTCTCTACTTCCAGCCAAGGATCACCTAACATCAGCAATGATATCTCTCATTGTGTTAGGCTGGGTTGACTATGGAAACAATTCCAGAGATACTCATATAGGTATGAGAAAGAACTTTACATAAAGAAGTACCATGCATCAGTAAAACATCCCAGCCCAGTCTGATACTAATGCGTAAGTCCCTCTTCAGCAACATGCAATAATGCAAAATGGAGGAAGATCACAGGCTGGTGGGTGCAGAATTGTGTGGATCCAATGGTCGTGGCGCATCACAGGGCTCGCACAGGTCTCAGTGTGGCTCGTCAATAGGAAGGTGGAAGCAGAGAGAGGGAGGGAAATTCCCAGAACCCTACTTATGAGAAGGTCATGCCACAAGGTAGGCACCATCCAGCTGTGACCTGATTGACAGGCTAGACTCCACCCCTACACTTTTATATCTTCAAGTTGACATGAAATTATGTAACTACCACACTCATTTCATGTTTTCTTCTGAACCTCTGTGAGCTCCTTTTCAATGTACTGCTGCAACCATATTTGGGTGATCTGCAGCAAAATTTCACTTGAATGTGATATCAATGATGTTGTTCTAGTATATGTGGATTATGTCCCAATAAAACTGTTTTTTAAAATGAAGTTGCTCTATAGGTTCAGTATTCTATTGGGTCCCTTTTCTTTGACATATGATTCACATAATATGCAATTCATCATAGTTCAATCATTTTAAAATGTGTTGTGCAATCATCGTCACAATCCCTTTTAGAACGTTATCTTCTTTCTTGTACTCATTGCTATTCGTGCTCATTTCCTCCGGTCCTTCCTGCCACACCCACAAGAAAACATTAATCCAGTGACTATCTCTAGATTTACCATTCCTGAATTTTATATAAAGAAGAGCATCTTAGGAAGAAAAATTTTAAAGATATGTTTTTATGTACTTTGTGCAAATAAAGTGACCCAATAGCTACCAGTGGAACCAAGATCCTGGGAGAAGGATACCCCTGACTGAACCAGGCTGATGTGCTTTAGCATCACCACCACAATGGAATCATCATGAGTACCAGATGAATGCTTAGCTTCTAAAAGACATTTCATTTTTTCTTATGCCTTTTCAGCATTTGCCAAAATTGGTGGCTATGAGAATTTCACAGAGCAGTACATGAATGCTATCCCATCGATAGTCAAGGGGGACAACCTGACGATCAGCCCCAGATGCTACACTCCGCAGGAAGACTCATTCCACATTTTCCGAGATGCTGTCACCGGGGATATTCCATGGCCAGGCATGGTTTTTGGAATGACCATTGTGGCTGTGTGGTACTGGTGCACAGATCAGGTGATGTGTGTGTATTTATGTTTATGTTGTTCTTTTTCTTTTCAGGGAAAAGCTTCCAGTTTCCATTTTGTGAGGCTATTGTGCAAACACCTTGCTTAAAGAATCAAACAGTTCTACCTGGTTTGTTATGGCGAAACCTATTATGGCAAAACCCTATTATCTCCTGTTCATTGTCTCTCAGACGCAAAATCTTTTAGCTCTTTCTCTAAATCCTTGCAATAAGTAGATGCTTTATGGACCATCAGCATGGCTGCCACCTTGCAGCCCACTAGGAATGGAGATTCTCATACCCTATCATTGAATCAGAATTCGCTTAACATGACACACAATTCAAATTGCATGCTTGTATTGCGCCCCCTTAGTTTTTCAGACTTCTATTGCTTTTCCAAAGATCGATTATCTCTTTTTCAACTCCCTGTCCTCACTCACACACAAGCACACCATCTCTACTCCCAGGCTCCAAGTAAATGGGAATCACGATTCGGATGAGATGAATATGCAGTCCTTCAACTTTATGACTAGTGAATGGAACTCATGCTGAGCCACATGGCATCCTCTGATTGCTCTTCTGTACTATAGCTACTGTTTTTCCTTGAATTAATAATTATCTTAACTTGATCAGTTTTTAATTTTTTCTTGGTAATGATTACTGATTAAACAACAAGCCATCAGCAAATCATCTAAGTCTCCTTTCAATACATACAATACATCAATTATTCTATCAATTCATTTCTCTTGCTTTCTCCCAGTGCCTTCGGGCTCTCCAAATCTGGTAGATTGCTACTATGCTCAGTGCCCACCTTCACCCAGGATGCCCTTCACTACCATCTTTGGAATTCCCTTTGTCTCTCTTGCATTACAGCTCCTACTTCCAGTAGCCTATATCTTCTTTCTTGATAACTCTTTTTTTTTTGGTCTTTGCTGTGCTTTTTGTTTTGTTTTAATCGTTTTATTAGGGGCTCATATGACTCTTATCACAATCCATACATACATCAATTGTGTAAAGCACACTTGTACATTCATTGCCCTCATCATTCTCAAAACATTTCCTCTCCACTTAAGCCCCTGGCATCAGCTCCTCAATTTTTCCCCTCCCTCCCCCTTCCCCGCTCCCTCATGAGCCCTTGATAATTTATAAATTATTATTTTGTCATATCTTGCCCTGTCCAATGTCTCTCTTCACCCACTTTTCTGTTGTCCGTCCCCCAGGAAGGAGGTCACATATAGATCCTCAGTGGTGTGAGTGGCGATACTGGGAGGGTAGAGGGAGAGTGGGTTGGAAAGATAACTTCTTAAAGACAACCAGTTTCACTAGGACAGTGGTTCTCAGGCCGTGGGTTAAGACCCCCTTGGAGTTCAAGCGACCCTTTCACAGGGGTTGCCCGATTCATAACAGTAGCAAAATGACAGTGATGAAGTAGCAACAAAAATACTTCTATGATTGGGGGGTCACCACCACATGAGGAACTGTATGAAAGGGTTGTGGCATTGAGAACCACGGCTCTAGTAGCTTCCTGAAAAAGGTCTCAAGGAGATGCATTTTAATGACTTTGCGTGATTGAAAATAACTATACTCCATCCTTTCTTTAATTGAAAGCTTAACCATGTACAAACATCTGGGTCAGAAATCACTCTCCCAAAGTCATAGGCAGATTATCTCCTGACTTCCACGGTCACTGTGAAGAAACCTGAAGTTATTCTACTTATTGATCTTTGGAACGTGACTCTTTTTCTCTCTGGGAGTTCTGCTTCCCTTTGTCCTTGGTCTTCTGAAATTTCACCACAGTGAGTTTCCATGTGGATCCATTGTTGTTCATTGTGCTGGGATACCATAAGCCTGTTTGTTCTTGAAATTGATGTCTGGGATAATTTTTAGGATTATGTCTTTCATTTCTTCCATTTATTTTTATCTTTTGGTCATTTTTATATTTGGGATGTTAGATTATCTGGTTTTCTAATAGACATCCTTTCTCCCCCTTTTCAGAACTCGGTCTGTTTATTCTACTTTCTAGGTGAATTCATCAACTTAATCTTCATTTGTATTTCTAATTTCCCCTCACTTTTTGTTTTCTGTTTTACAACATCTGTTTCTTTCTGTTTGTTGTTTGCCTTTTTTATCTTTTCTTCTCTCTGAATAGTCTCTGCCACCTTCCAGTTTATAATTTTACAATCTTCAATCTATACTGAATTGCAATTGCATAAGCAATCAATAATTGCTTATGAGTTAGTTTGGGATACAGTTTTATTTTTCTTTATATAATGAATCATTTTCCCATGTACGAAAGAATGCGTCCTTTCACCCGTGATTTGCAGAACCATCTTTTTGCTTGCATCGCACTTCATGCTCCCTGACTTGCCTCCTGTTACCTTTAGATCTGATTCCTGGCCCTGCTTGTCTACTGATAGGATTCCCCTCCTCTCTGTGATGTGTGTTGTCCTACCAACTGTCTGCTCTTACCCTTTCTGTCTAAAAATGTAGTCTACTCCCTCAGCACTGAATGACACCTTAGTGCCTCTCCGAATACTTTTCAGCAGATTAAAAAGATAACCCTATTTGCTGATATTCTCTAAGAATAAAAATATCAAGAAGTTATGCCATTTTCAGAATTGCTATTTTGTGTTTTCTTAAACAAACAAACTTTGTTAATTAGGAATTACGAAATCAGGTACATTAATTTTACATAATTGTAATATTTTATTCTTACCTAGATGAATTCTCATAATAATTCTGAAGAAATCTAGAGGTGAAAGTCTCAAGGTTCTACTCTTATGGTTCAGTTCATTGACTATTGCATTTCTGTGTCAAAAGGCTTGATTCTCAAGGAGGCATTTCACTAAAACAGTTAAGAGTTACTGATGTCTGTGTTCTTTACTTAGTGCCAGAAATATTAAATTATAACTAATATTTATACAACCTGGGGCAGGAAGAACTTTGTACCTGGAGGAGCACACAATCTGTGTTACTTTGCAGCCTGGGAGCTATAAGCATACAAAGATTTTTATTGACTTAGTAGAATTGCTATATATCAAAGGTCTTAGGAACATTATACCAAGTATTCTGAATGCCTTGTAAGAGATGGCCTTACATTCACAATGATCAACATATAACACTCCCCGGGGGACAAACAAAAGAAAAGTGGGTGAAGGGAGACAGCAGTCAGTGTAAGACATGAAAAAAATATTAATTTATAAAGTATCAAGGGTTCATGAAGGAGGGTGGGGGAGGAAAGGGAAAAAT